TTTAAGCAAAAATTCTGCTTTGGACTGAGCAGCTATTTGGATTTCAGACAGATTTCAGTTAATTGCTTCCAAAATTATTCACTTAGCACTAAATAGTAACAATAAGTATTTTGCATATATGAAGCCATCTTATAATTTACTGTAAGAAGGAAAGGCCATTAAGATCCCTGGAAATGACATAAATCTCATTCCTATTAATAGACTTTAGATGGCCAATTACTGGAAAGAGGAATATTTCTATATTCTCTTACTCATAGATTTTTTTTATAGTTACTCCATTTACAAAAGTAACTCATTTCTTTGCTTATCAATAATGTGTTACTGCTATCTTTCCATCTGGGAAAAACTTTTACATAAGCTAACTGTTTGATGAAACATGCCTGATCCTGGAATATGTTTTCCAGGGGAAAACATAGAGTAGTGTGTGAATTGGTCATAGGGGACAGAATTGTGCATCACATCTTGTAATATGCAGCATTTGGCCATTTAAGGTAGCTTTGTGAGTGGTTGCGGTTTTCTTAGACATCCTCCTCGTATTGGTTGAAAGGTTGGTCTTTGCATAGCGAAGCTAAGGTATCGTGTTGATGTTAACTCTTTGGGTTGTTTGTATATGAACCAGCTTTTAATTTTTTTTTTTTTTGCTCTCTTCTAATGTTCACTAAAGAGAGCATTTCATCTTCCAAAAACAAGGTAATCTTCAAAAGAATTTTTTTTAAAAATCTATTTAGACAGAAAGTTGTATTTGAAGCTACATTCTCATACATCAAAGATGTTTAGACCAGGCAGCAGCCCTTCTTAACTCAAAGCATGGGTAAATTAATGTACCTTCATGCACCTTAACTTCTATTCCAACAAAACACTGCCACATAATCCCATTAGCCACCCACTTCCTATATACCACATCATTAGTAATGTGGAAGAACTGAAATCAAACCCAGGCTTTGATAGTGTCAAGATGTACAAACAGCATGATGGCAATACAGCCCCATGTTACTGTCATGATGCTTGTACAGCACAGGCCCAGTCCAACTGGTCCATATTTTGAGGAGACATACTTTTATGTAACTAATGTATGTCATTATGTACATCATTAGTACATAAGGTTGTTTCTCTTTTGATAATCAAAGAATGGAGTTCCCCTCCTAGGTTAAAGCATGAAAAGTGTGCGTCAATTTATTGCCTTTTGGGAGCGTAGCTTTAATGATTTGTTCTTGCTTCAAACCAAAGGGATTCTCTTTTTTCTCAGTTAATCTTTATTATCCCAGGCTACAGCTGTTCTAATAAGCATCCATATTAGTGGAATACGTCCTGCTGAGATGAAGGGATTTACACCTCTAAACAAGCTTGGTGATTGCCTCTCTGGAACAAGTGAACATTTGAAAAGAAATGTTTAAATTTATTTCTTTTATTTTCTCAGAAATGCTTCTTCAGACCATATTCCTGCTGTTGGCTGTTATGCTGCACCAATCTTCAGTGCAGGTATGAGCTTAAGATTTCTGCAAATCTTCTGTTATATATTCCTTGATCAGGGAAGCCACCATTTCTAGAAAAAAAAAACATTCTAGAGGAGAATTAATTTTACTATCTTTTCGTTTCAGTTTTCAAAGAAGCATAGTGAGGAAAGACAAATTGAATAAAGTATGAGTGTGTGCTGAAGTATGTGCAAACTATGTTGGCAGAGGCTTTTTCTCTAAGACTGTTGCCAGCTGTAGTATTCAGTCATGAATCTTATGCAGTATCCAGAAGATACTGAAAGTGGCCTTAAGGGATACAACTGTGTTCAGGGCCCTGTTCTGATCAAATCCTAAAGAGATCAATCAAGATTTGACAAGATGTTGTGTTTTAATCCCCTCCTCCCCATATATACTTTGTCCATACTTCTGTGAGCAATTGCAAGCATTTTTTACAAGGATGATTTCCTTCCTTCCTTCCTTCCTTCCTTCCTTCCTTCCTCTCTCTCTCCATTGAAAGCAGAAGAATTTTAGATTTTTATTACATTTACCATCATACTTTCAAACATTAATCAGATGCAGGAACAGACTAAAAATGAAGCTGAATGTGTATTCCCTATGATTAGCCCATTTCCTTTTCTGTAGCACAATTTTTCTCAAACAAATGGGCCTCAGTAATTTTCCATTCCAATGACCAAACACAAATCAAAGCATACTAATTCCATATATATATGGAATTAGTATGCTTTGATTTGTGTTTGGTCATTGGAATGGAAAATATATATGGTTTTACACATCAGGACATAATAAAAATCATCTGGTCCTTAGCAGGTCTGAAAATTAGGTAAATGCAATCTCAGGTGAGCAACAACACATGACATATCACACTGTGTAATGATTTATTTTGCAAAAGTAGAGCCAAAATGGAGAAGCCATGTGTAAAACCATAGAATACAAAGAGGGTGCATTTTCTTTTCACATGACTGTATATATGTATGTGAGGAAAAATATGACATGTTGGGGGGGGGTCCACAGGTATTTTAAAAAAAACTTGATAAGCATTTCCTCTAACTTGGCTTACAATTATGGATTTTTGTCTGAACCTAGCTACTGTGTTTCCCCAAAAGTAAGACAGGGTTTTATATTAAATTTTGCTCAAAAATGTATTATGGCTTATTTTTAGGCGACACTTTATGTTCTTCATGTACAACAATCTACATTTATTCAAATACAGTCATGTCGTCTTCTTTTGGTTGCTGCACAATGGTGGGGCAGGGTTTTACTTAACTAGGGCTTATTTTTTGCCGTAGGGCTTATATTATGCGCATCCTGAAAAATCACACTAGGGCTTATTTTCAGGCAAGGTCTTATTTTCAGGGAAACAGGGTAGCTAGTCCCATGACTGGTCAAGGAGCTAAATTTCAATCTGTTATGCCTGGGAGGGCAGAATAAACATGGTGTGCAAATAATACTTCTTTCTCTCCCCCCCCCCAGCCCCGGCAATACTAGAGTATATATGTATGGATATAGTGGATAGAGTAGTGGATTAGGATTCAGGAGATCCGCCATGGAAACTCATTGGGGGGAGGAAATGGACAGCTCAAAGGCTCTCCCACAATTTCAGGTGGAAAACAAGTTGCTATGCCATGACCATGCACTTATCACCTTGCAGGCACACAGTTCTGGTCTCACCCCAACAGATATCTCCCTGCTCTGCAAGACAGAGAGGCATTTGCCTCCCTCAAGCATGCTACAGAGGTGGTAGTCATGGCAGCAGCCTCCCCAAGCAGAAGGAAAAGGCTGTCCAAGGATTATTGGGGGGGGGAGGACACACAGTGGCAGCAAGCAATGACACCCATTGTGCTGCAGCAGGAGGACAGCTGCAGCTAATGGACATAATAATACACAGTGAAAGAATATGTGGAATCAGGCTTTCTCTTGCTCATTTCTGTGGGCAAAGAAGACATCTCTTTTCCTTAGGCAGGTCCAGACAGGCATTAATGGCTGCCGGTTCTATGCATCTCCAGCTTTCTCCCACCTCTGTAAGGGAGTTTTTTTAAAAAAAACTATTAATGGTAGGGTAAGGAATACAGAAGGTAAAGGGCAGTGGAGGGGATGGAAAAAGGGTTTTGAGGATAAGAGAACACCAAATATATAATCATCCAATCTTTTCATATTAAGTATATTAAGCATATAAACTATTCATTTTCAAATAAGAACTTATCTTTCTACTTCTTTTTTAACTATTACCCCCCTAGCTTTCAACTTGCAATTATGTTATAGTTTAAATCTAAGTTATTCCAACACCATCAGAAAACCAAGACCAGTTGTGAAATACATCCCCTCTTTCACTCTCCTTTTGTCTTAGAAATACATTCAACAGGCCTAACGTAGTCTATATTTCATTCACTTCTTCCATTTTCTCAATATGCTTCTTTTGTTTCTGTGACTCTGTTTTCTTCCATATTTTGAAAGGGAAAGACACATCCAGAGCAGTAATTCGCTTTTTAACGTCAGTTTTTCTAGCCGCCTAGCGTGGTCTTAATCGACTAGATAGGCGGGATCTAAATAAAATAAATAAATATAAATAAATAGCTGCTGTAGCTACATAGCTTACTGGGTGACACATCATCCCCTTTATATTGTCTGGTATCGCCCTCAATACACACAGTTCTGGCATTTCTTTTAACTGTGGTTTAACATCTGATATTTTCTCTTACTTAAAATCTTTGATTAAGTCTTCGATCTGATTAAGATGCTCATTTACCTGCTTAAATCCTGTCAATATTGTCATTTGAAAAGTAACTTGCCATTCTTTATCTGACCAAGTCTCTGGCCGTTGATCTCTAGTTTTCCCAGGGGGGAATTCCATCTTTCCAATATGTATGATCTGTATATATAACACTCTTTAGCTTCCACTATTTTATCAACAAACCAAACACTCACTTGGTACTTTCTCTCCCCCTTACCCAGATACTATAGTGTATAAATCAACCTCTCGTCCAATGCATTAAATTACAACTATGGCAGTATTGTCAGAGAAGAACAAGAAAACTGAAACAAAGAGTCAATTCAGTCAAAACACAGGAAATGAGTCTCTCTCTTAGATGTTATATTCCGTCAGGCTCTGTCCAGGTTTTGTAAGCTGCTCCGTTCAGTCCTTTGTCTCGCTGTAGATTTCCAGGCTGTTTCTTTTTCTTCCCCCCCCCCCCCCAGAGTTTATTCCTCCTTCACCCAGCAAGGCTCTGTTATCAGAGTGCCATTCATCAAACTCCTCAGTCTGTTCAGTTCAGATCACATCGCTCTCAATTCACAGTCTGTTTTCTTTTATAACTTCCAAAGGCTTATTCCTCCTTCCCCAGAAAAAGAAACCCAGCTCAATTTTTTAATCAGAGTCCCACACAGTCTAAGAAGAGAAGAGGAAGAAAAAGGTCCGATGTGTACAACTTTCACCAAGTTTTAGTCCCTTAAAGCCTGCCCAGTGTTGATTTCTCTGGGATTTTTTCCCACAAAAACACCAGCTATTTCTGTCTGTTCTCTCAATTTGACCTTGAGCCAGCTTGCTGAAAAAAGTCTAGTTTCCTTTCATTTTTGAAGCGCGAGCTGGCATGCCAGCTACACCGCTGTTATTTCCTTTCGGTCGTAAATTTTCACACTCAATTGTTCTTTGTTTTAATGGGATTTTTATAAAACAAGGGCTTCCACTTACTTTATTGTTGCATATTTTCGCTGTGCTTCTTGTTCTCTTACCTCGGCGGCGCAGTTCTCCTGGTTAGTTGCCAAAAATGGCTTCCCGTCTTCGGTCATTGTTCTTCGTTTTAATGGGATTTTTATAAAACAAGGGCTTCCACTTACTTTATTGTTGCATATTTTCGCTGTGCTTCTTGTTCTCTTATCCTCGGCGGCGCAGTTCTCCTGGTTAGTTGCCAAAAATGGCTTCCCGTCTTCGGTCTGTGCATGTGTGAATTTACAGAAGGAAAAAAAATCGAGTTGCTGCCCAGTCTTCTACCTTCTGTGGCTCACCATCTGCGCCAGAGAGGTCTCTCCTGACCCCCCCTTTGATTCCCCCATTTCTAGGGGAATCCCAGGCCGAGCGGTTCCAGCTTTTCTGGGAGCTATTCCCAGAGGCTGCTGGCTTCACCACAACAAAGCTCCTCCCCACCTCTTTAAGGGAGTTTATCAAAGACTGTCTCTAACTCAGGGGTGGTGTTCAGATCCTCCTGCAACAAGGGATTACAATGTGAAGAGCTGTCCCCATACTTTGTAGCAGCACCCTTCCCATATAGTGCATCCACCCATATGACAAGAGGAGGACACGGCAGCCTCCACCACCACACAAACACAAGGCCAGGGGATGAGGAGGTAGGGCCCATACCAGAGACCGGCTGCTCACAGCATTGATTTTGGTACTTTTCCCGGATTGCTATAGTTCTTGGCTCAGGGAAAAGAAGCAGCTAGCTCTAGAGAGCTGTATAGAACATCAGCAGGTTTCCAAAATTAGCCATTCCCATCACTGCTTGTCTGAGATTACCTTGCCTGCCTGAGGATAGGTCCAGTCAATCACCAACTCCCAAGTAGGTCCTCTTGGAAGGAATTAAGTATGAGGGCCAGTTCTCAGCTTCCCTTTCTTTGGTCTGCAGGTAAAGAGATGAGTCACACAGCCTTTCCCTTTTTAGATTCCATCCAGCAACTTGCTCCTCTGCAGAGAAGGAATAGAGAATGACATTTCATTCATGTATCTGTTTTGTTTCATTTTTATTTCTCTTGTTAGTTCCTTCAGATCCTTATTCCTATCCTTATGGAAAAAGTTAAAAAAAATACCTAACATATTTTCTCATTCTCAATGAAAAATGGTATCTTGATACACTCCATCAAAACTGAACCAAAACAAACAACCAAAAAAATTTGACTCCACTGCAATAATTTTTGCCCTTCTCTATAGAGAGAAGATCTCTCTTATAAAAAAAAATAGCAGGAACATTAGCAAAAGGAAAACAATGTATTCATAAGCTCTGATGCCAGCTAAATCACATATGAATGGGAAGGATTTCTAGAGTTTGGATCCACTACTTTCAGAGACTACAAATCCCAGAATCTTATATGGACAGGTTTTTCAATGGATATGTTAGTTTGAGGTTTTTGAGAATTGTAGTCGAGTAAATAGCATTTTCTGCCTCTGAGGAGTTCATGTGATGTATCTGATTTCTGGTGACTTATAGATCCTTGGTGTCTGTGGATAACATTAAAGACAAAGATTTCAGCAATCTGTGGTAGCATAATGGGATGTTATATAAGCATTGCTGATTTGTTCAAAACAAAGAAAACTTTGACATTTCTCTTCTCTTTAGGGGTATGGTGCAATAATTGGCAAAATCACTGACACGCAGAAGTCAGCAATTGTTAACATGCATAATGCCATTAGGAGAGAGGTTCAGCCACCTGCCAGCAATATGATGAAAATGGTAAATGACAATTCATTAATTTTCCTAGATATAGTTGTAAGGCTTTGCTGTGGCAAAGACTCTCCAGAGCAAGATGATATATACCTGAAGTACAGATCTATGTTGATTATTTAAAATATTTTTAGATCACCACATGTTAGGTCCTCATGTAAGGCAACTGCCATCTCCCCTCTTCCTTTTCTTCTCAGACTAAGCTTCTGCTGAGTTTTTTTATGAGTTTGCATAGAGAAATCTCTCACCACCTCCTTGTACATTTTCGTGATGTCATACAAAGGGGGCACATTGACATGCTGCAAAGGAGGGGAGAAAGTGGACTTTATGGCAGAGTATAAGAAGAAGCAATGCCAGTCCCTTCCCCTCCTCTCTCCTCACATTCCCAGGATCAGCTTCAACTGGAGTGTGTCAGTGCAGAGAGTATAGAGTATAGAGACTTATAGCTTTTTCATGTGAGTACATTCCTGTGATAGAGAAGATCTGCAAAAGAGAAGAGGAAATGGACTAACATGACCAAGGAGAGGAGGAAAAAGAGGAAACAGTGGCAGACAACAGGAGTAGCCCTCCAAAGTGCATATACACCTTGACAGATGCCCTGCAACACACTCACTAAAGAAATGGTTCAATTCCTCAAGAAAGAAAGAAAGAAAGAAAGAAAGAAAGAAAGAAAGAAAGAAAGAAAAGAAAGAAAGAAAGAAAGAAAGAAAGAAAGAAAGAACCCAACCAATCAACCAACCAACCAACAAACAAAAACCCTCTGGCCTATTATTTCTTGTTTGTTTTTAACCAGTTAACTTCTTACCCAGACACAAAGCAACTGTCAGGAATGTTTTTCAACAAATGTGAATGGTCTCCACACATCAGAAGTGACTTGATAGTGACATAACATATTTGAAATATTTTTTCTTATTTACCAAACAAATGTATAGTGACAAGGTTGATGGAATAGACACCAAAGCTCACCTAACATCATGTAAGACCATCCCCAGCCACAAAACAAAAGTATTAATAATTTTACAGCTTAAATAAGTGAGCTTCTGAATATTTATTCTCTATTTTTAAAATATTTTAAAAATAATTTTACAACAGAAACAGAATCTTTTTTAAAATGTCTGATTCATATTGAAGGAATTTAAAAGTTCTTCTCCTGAGAATCATTTAATTTGGTCCTGACTGGCGGGGTCAAAAATTCAGATCTTATTTTTTCTCTTTCACGTTGATAGAATATTGGCACTGAAAACCACTTTATAAGAAACTCAGAGCTTTTTTCCACTTTTAAAGGGCTTTTTCAGATTCAGTATTACGCCTCCTGAAGCCTGTAGTCCTTCCAAATGAAAAATGTGGCTGGAACTAACCACTCTCTTTCAAGATAAGGAAGTTTGATCTTTTCAGTGTAGTTGATCTGTTTTAAATCTGCAGACAAAAAGGTTTTACTTTTAGAAAAATCATTATTTGAGAACTGTTTGCCCTAGCATCCCCACAGAGCAAGAGCAGAATGTCTACTACATCTGTGCCAGATTTGGTGCTGATCTGAAGTCCAGTTTCAAAGTTATATATATTTTTTTGTTTAGGCTGCCCCCATTTTTAGAGTTGCCTTGTGGAATGTTGCTTTGCCTCACAATGACATCACTGCAGGGATAGGATGAGTCACATAGTCTCACTCTAATGTCTGAGGAAGTGGACTTGATCCACTAAAGCTCACGTTAAAATACAGCACTTAAGGTGCCACATTTTTGGCACAAAGCAAGAGCAGTCTGTCTGCCACATCTGTGCCAGATTTGGTGCTGATACAAAGTCAATTTTTACAATTTCCCCCATTTTTAAAATTGCCTTACGGAATGATTATTTGCTCGGTTGCATAATATCTATTGCTGCACTCTCATGCAGTAATAATTCCCCTACTTAGTCAGCGTTGAGTTGCATAACTGCTTTGCCTTGCCAGTAGCAGAGCAACACAGCCAAGGGTATCCTGAAGCCTTACAAAGTCTCGTCATTCTGTAATCACTGGGAAGATGAGACAATTATCTTCAGCAGTCATCAATGGGAAACTGCCTGTGCTGTGAACCCTCAGACTGAGGACATTGCAATAAAGATGTGAATGGAATTCTATCCCCACCAGCAAGACAACTCTGCAGAAGATTGTGGGATTTGTTAGATGCTTTGTCATCACATTTTCTGGAAGAAGTGCCAAGCTGCACCAGATTATTCCTATTCTTAGAAATTGTGTCTTTCCAATGCAGAATTCAGTGGAAAGGACATCAAGCTATGCAGATATTGGTAGTTTTCTGCACAGAAGAACAGCTAACACTGTTTTTGAAAATCAAGATGGAAAACAAGACTCCACTCTTGTTTTCAGAGGCATCCAGGTGGGGTGGAAGACAGCTCAATTGGGATTCTTACCAGAAAATTGCCAGGAATGAGAAATTTTGGAGGTACTCATCACATCATTGAATAATGTTGCTCACAAGAGAAACCTTAATATTAACCTAAGAAAGAAAGAAAGAAAGAAAGAAAGAAAGAAAGAAAGAAAGAAAGAAAGAAAGAAAGAAAGAAAGAAAGAAAGAAAGAAAGAAAGATTAACAAATTAAAATGAATAAATTATTCCCAACTAAACTCTGGGAATGACACATCTGGTTATAGATCTGCCAGTTTGTCCAACACTTACTATATTTGTATTAGTTCATACATTTACTGGTGCTGGGTTTCTTTTCTTTATTCCCGCCTTCTTCGCCTACTGGCTAGGGTGATTTGTTTATGCTCCATCCTTGTGATGGCCCATCTCATGTGTGATTATTTCCTTGTTGCTAAGGTGTGGAGTGAAGAAGCTGCCAAGAATGCTGAAAAATGTATCAGCAAGTGTTCGCCAGCTCCTAGTTCCATAGAGGAGCGTACTGTGCAAGGTAAGTGGAGTGAATAGACTGGCAATTAGAGACGGGGACAAACTGCCAAAATGGCAGTTCACTGTGGTTTGTGGGTTGTCAAGGTTGATGACCCATGACCCACAAATTTCCCTAGGGATTTCTATTGAACCACAAATCAGTTTGTCATTTCAGTCTGTGGCTGTTGTTGTTTTTTAAGGGCCCATAGGCAGAGAGAGAGCAGGCTAGCTGGCCAGGATTGTGCTGGCAGGCTCCCTCTGTCTCCATAAGCACTGATCAACTGATCGGCACCTATGGAGGTGGAGAGATCAGGTTAGCCTGCTGGAACGGCAGTTTCCTTTCTGGCAGCCTAGCTTCCATTCCACCAGCGGCAATGGTGGCAATGGCAGTGGTGGCGATGATGGTAACAGGACAAGGTAGGGAGGTGATGGGGGAAGTGGGAAAAGGGCAGGGGGTGGGCTGTGGGGGCAGAGAGAGCAACCCACTGAACAGCTGTTTAGTGGATCCATAAGCAGAGAGAACAAACGAGGCTGCCGGAGCAGCCATTCTGGCAGCCTAGCTTGCTCTTTGGGCCCAGGCCCAACAAAGGGATGAATAAAAAGGGTAAAGATTCGTCACTTTGTATTCATCAGGTCCTCCGGAATTGATTAATGCAAAGTAATGAATATTACATCAATCAGTGATTTCTGACAAATATTGTAATTCATTTTTTTAGTCATTCCCATGTCTACTCGAAATACCATCACGCATTCTTAGAAAAAAAAGCAAGTTTGCTGATTGAGTTGGAAACTAGTTTGATCAGAGAAACAGTCTAAAGGGACAGCTGTTAAGTAGTGTTCTCTTTGACCCACTCAGACTGGAAACCTCCAGAAATGTCTTTTCAAAAAAATATTTTTTTTAAAGGGAGAGTAGTATATGTGTCTGCCTTTAAAAATCTATATTGCTCTGACGTCAGCTGAAGGTATGCATTTTGGCCAGTAAGTGCAAAGTCACAAAGATGACAGTGTATGGCTATTTTTGGTATACTCTTACAATTGTTATTAAAATTTTAATTTTAATAAAATATATTACTTTTGTTAAAATATAGATTTAGATATTTAATTTTGATCCAATAAAGAGGTGGGGAGAAAGGAGGCTGCTGCTTGTTATTTTTATATTTCTAGCTGATTTGCAATGTATTGGCTTGGCTTTCTTTAACTCCAAAACTTTTAAAAAGATCTAGAGCAAAAGGGAGAAGCAGTTGCTGCCCAGCGGTAGATGGAAGTTTTCAATGTTTTATTTTTTTTAAAATAAGTGACCCAGTACATCAGCACTGCCCTAATACACTATATTGTTTTCACTTCCTCTGCCACCCTATATAGAACAGAGGAAGTGCTTAATTTGCCAATATCATAAAGTGACTACCTTCTAAAGCCACTTCACAATATGGGAAATTGACAGAGGACCGAATAGGGCCACTTGTGTTGCATATGTCATGGGATTGCAAGTATTGCTCCAAATGGTGCACTGGACCTTTACTCAAATTGAAGTACTGTAACCATATTTAGCCTGTAGCAGCCTACTCTAAATAAGCCTGTGTAGAGAAGCCCTCATTACAGGAGATTTGATTAGATGAATTTAAGCATTCACCCTTGGACAACACAACTGTATTTCTTCTGTTGCAGGAACAGTATGTGGTGAGATTGCACTGCAAACAAATTATCCCCCCACCTGGGCAAATGTAATTGACCAGTTTTCAAAGGGATCAAAATATTTTAAGTATGGTGTTGGAAAAACAGACCCAACAAAAGATGTTTACGGTTATACTCAGGTAGGATGTCAACAGGCACAACTGTCAAGTTGAAATAAAACCATATATGGGAAGTAAAACTGTAGAAATAATACCAAAAATATATGCCATTTTAAGCTTCTTAAGCAAGCCTAGTATCTTAATTACACAAAGCCTCCTTTTGTCAGTAGCTTGGAGCTTGCAAGGCTATTCAGTTATAAAGAAATAATCAAAGGGTTGTTGTGGGTTTTTTGGGCTCTTTGGCCGTGTTCTGAAGGTTGTTCCTTCTAACATTTCGCCAGTCTCTGTGGCCGGCATCTTCAGAGGACAGCACTCTGTGCTCTGGTGTAGTTGGCTTGGGAGTGCTCTGTGCTCTACACCAGAGCACAGAGTGCTGTCCTCTTTCACTTATTGAACCTCCTGGTTCAATAACCTCCTGGTTCAATAAGTGAAAGCAAGACTGAGCTGCAGCCAGCCCCCTGCAAGCAGAGCTACTGTTTCCCATCTTGCAAACTACTGCCATTTCCACTTCCCCTGCAGAAAAGCAAAAGAAATGCAGTCTCAGGCAAAGACAGAAGTGCAGTGGCTGTAGGCCTCCTCAGTCTGCATCGTAGCTTTACCCTCAAGTACCAATATGTGTGTGAGAGAGACTCTCAGCATTTCTGGCAGGAAAGTGACATGAGGTTCACCATTGCCTCAGCAGGAAAACCATCTGCTGTGTTATATCCTCACTGGTTATGGTGGGCCAGTGTCCCAGTACTCGGTGCAGAAGAGGCCCCAACACAGATATCCCTGCCACCACCACCGCCACCTCCTCCTCTGCTCTTTGCTTGCTCCAACGTAGTGGCTGCCTGTGGTTCAGGAGATATCTACCCTGGATTGATGGGGTGAATCACCTCCTACTTAGAGCACAGGCTGCCAATGCCCAAGGCTATGTCCCTTTGCCTTTGGGGGAGAAGAAGAGGGAGATGTGGATGCTTCTTATGCCATTTCCAGGGATTGGCAGGTATTTGCTTGGAACAGACATGAGTTTCTGCCTTCTTGCATTCCTGGCCACCAACATTGCACTGCTTCCCCATAGTATTTTAACTGGGCCAGCACAGGGGGCTGCTCCTCCTTGTTATTTCCCAGTTATTCCTCTCAGATAATTAGGCTGAAAAGAAATGCAGCTCTCTGTATTTTGGAAGCAGTCTCAGGTGTGGGCATCATCAGGGGGTCTCAAGCCCACTACCCGCCCTCTTGGTCCACACCAGCCACTTCCAACACAACAAGAAGCGACTGGAAGGTTCTTTCCATTTTTCTCACAAAAGGGCTTTTGAGCTAGTCTCCTCCCCCCCTTTTCCCTTGCTATGAAAGGGCATTGGGGTCCATAGAAACAACCTTGGGGGCACATGCAGTGATTCTCACCACTCAATTAGCTGATGATTAGTGGACAAACATGTGAAGAAAAGGAAACAAGGGGAGGGTTGAGGAAGACCTAGAAGGCCTAAGTCATAGTCCCATTGTGGTGAGCACCAACAGAGCACCCGATGAATTTCCTCAAGTTATAGCCAGACCTTAACACTCTTATTTAAAGTATAGCAAAAAGGGAGGAGTCTGTACCACATTCCCAGCTTTAGATTAATAAAAAATCTGTATAGCTGTCTCCGCCATTTCCGTGGTATTCTGTGCACAACAAAGAGGGAATGTCTGCTTTTTCTTTGGAAAATGGCCTTGAAGAGCAACCCTCCCCCATAGCTCAGTGGTTTAGGTCTCTGGCTGCAGAGCCAGAGGTTGGGAGTTCAATTCCCCATGGAGTGCCTCCCTGACAGGGGCTGCACTCCATGATCTATAAAGTCCCTTCCAGCTCTGTAGTTCTAAGATTTTTATTATACAAACTGAGTGCAAATGAGACCTGCAGGTGGGTGATGCGTGACTGCCCCCTCCTCTTTGTGCCTTAGGGTTTTGTCACATTTACCTTCAAACTATGGGCCAAGTCACATGCTTTATTTTAAAGTGTACACTTAATATGTTTCAGAGTGAGCCACAATCAGTGTAATAAAGTACATGTACCATATACATTCAAGTGCCTGGAAGCCAGGATTGCCCCCAGAACACGTGTATATGAAACAAGAAAGAATGGCAGAAACTTTCTGCCAGAAACATATTTCATTAAAAACGTCACCATTTTTGTTATATATTACTAATCTGTGTATCCATACTCCAGTCTGTGCTGTGTGTTTTTTTAAATGTACCCCAAGTTCACATTCATCGTTTTATGTTCATAGATGATCTGGCATAAATCAAACCAGGTTGGATGCGCAACTGCCATCTGCCCAGAGGCTGAAAATAAATTTTTCCATCTTTGCCGCTACTGCCCTTCGTAAGTGTTACGTCTGAATAACATGTTCGTTATTTGAGCTGTTCAGGACCTGGCATGAACTAGAGCTCGTATGTGCTGAGCTTTCTCCACTAATTCCTGCATCTTCCTCCCCAACTCTGGTTTCTGTACTACAGCATCCCACATCCTTTAGGAAAGAGGTGGGTGGGTGCAGAGCCCAGAATGCCATTTTGTCTGAAACTGATCCATTCTGTTACTTATTACTTTGGACCAGGGACAGGTTATTCCAGTTACCATTATCCCATCTGCTAAAGTCTGTTATTACTTTGGACCAGGGACAGGTTGTTCCAGTTACCATTATCCCATCTGCTAAAGTAATGAATTCTCATTCCTCATTGTATTCAAAAGCTGCATCTAAAACAAATCTACCTTTATTTTTTTTTCTGCACCTTACATTGACTCCATTCCTCTGCTGAGTCCTTGCTTCCAATCTACTGTCTTCTAAAGGCCCCGTTTAAAGGCCTTCCTCCAGCTGCCCAAGCAACCTGGGTATCTGCAGCTCCTTCTCATCTGCCTTTTTTCATTTTCCTTTAGAGCCAGCTTCTCTCGTTTTTGCTTCCTGCTCACTTTGCAACACTTCCCTTCCACAAAGAAAGACAGTGAGATGTAGCAGGCAAATCATCCATGTTTCCCTTCCTCGCCTTCCCTGCTACTTAGATAAGTAATGTTTGTGCATGTGTGAGAGATTTGCATTACATTGAAAAAGTAGTGAATTATAGCCATGGTTATTACAGGCTCCAATATAACTCAATTTCACCTCTTTACTGAAAAAAAGGAAGAAAGAAAAAAAGAAAAGAAAAGAAAGGGAAGAAGAAGAAGAAAAGAAAAGAAGTGTTACTGAAGTAATGTGCATGTCTGAGCTCTGGCTGGGTGCCATGGAGGGAGGAGGGAGGGAGGAAATCAGGTACTTAGAGTCAGGTTTAGGATTAGGTTTTGGGTTATACACATGAGCTTTGCCTTTTCTCCATTTTATATACAACCATCGGGGCTGCCTTTACTGCCTTTTTAGCAGTTTCTCACATAATGTGCTTCTTGCATGGACATGTACCTCTTATGCGTTCTGCCGTGTTGAGAAACATAATGCCCTGCTTTGTTATTTCAGAGGAAACATAGTAGGACAATTGAACAAACCCTACAAAGAAGGCCCGCCATGTGGAGAATGCCCTAACAACTGCGAGGATAAACTGTGCAGTAAGTTACCGATGATATAAAGCTCTTCCTCTGAATAATTGTAATTACAGTCCTCCTGTTCTCGAAAGTAAGCTGCTTAAAGACTAACCGTTTTATTTCAATGGAAGCTTTCCTGAATCAAAATCCATCTCTTCAGACACATAGACTGCAAATACGTGTAGTGCTGAGATTCATGTGTGGTGAGGATACAAAGTGGCAGTGGTTCATTAACACAGGAATGGAACTATCAAGCTATTAAATAGCTGATCCTAAGACAAACTATTATAACTACACGTTTGGAAGTTGCATAATTCTCACATCCACATATTGATCAGCTGTGACAGATGTTGCAAATTGCCCCAGAATCTCTGATGAAATGAGTTCTTGTTATCCATTATCTATGTCACGACTGATTGATTATAGCCATAACTATTGTTGCCCCCAAACATTCAGAAACTCCTGGGCAAGGTTTGAGGCAATAGCATGGCCACAACACCGTGATAAATAAGCTTAACAGTTTATGGTTCAGTGATAGCATGGCCACTGTTTTACCACTCTTGTGCAATGTACAAAGAGGCATACATCACAGGGATTTCCATGCTTAGAAATAGTGTCTAATAGCCCACCTACACAGGGCAAAGCTTCAGTATCAATAACGTGGCCAAGTTTCTCCTTTTCCTTCAGACAAGGGGCTCTGTGATGGTGACTAGACATGGAAACGGATATAAAAATTGTATCATAATATTTGTGGGAAATTGCTGATTTATCGCATATTTGTTACTTCGTATTGTCAATTCTGGAGACCCCAACGAATATGAAGTGACAAATATTTCCCTTTTTAAAATACATCGCTTCAGAAAAGTGGATTGCCTTTCTGCCTATGCCCCTGCAGGTCAGCTGTTCCTCAGGAGCATAGGCAAAGAGGGAAGGCTGGGCTGCTGGCACTAACGACACAAGCGGATTTTGATTTCTGTTCTAATTCATGTTGTGAAATATGTTGAGTCCTACACATAGCAAAATATGGTCTGTTTTTTAAAAATAAAATAATAAACAATAGAAGAGGAGAATAAATGATGGAAGATACACCTTGGGTCTTTTTATGGAGAAAGGCTGGGTAAAAATATTGTAAATAAATAAATAAACACAGGTGGAGCATTTTTTCCTACTGGGGATAGAACACTGCTCTCAGTTTTATTTAACTCTAGCAGGAAATTGGTGCTATTTGTGCCCTCACTGCTGGGCAGAATGCCCTCTGAGTTTAACTTTTGTCCTATCTGAGGTATGAGAAAACTTTGTGAGAGCTATGGGAGCTCCATCATGATGGCAGTCCTGTCACAAGCATTGCGCAGGGCGCTTGCTTTTAAAATAGCCTTTATTTGAATGCTGGTAGAATATGTAATATCCAGAAGTTAGCAAGATATCAATGATAATGGCAAGCTACTGCCGCTGAGGGTAGAATCTGTCACAATGAGGCCAACTGTTTTTTTCAGATCTTTAGGGCCAATCAGCTCCACTACAAGAAGACTGAAGTAATGTACTAGATAGACCAGAGGGGAAGGCAATGAAATTAAATGATGGGGTTACTTTGTCTGCCTTGCATCTAATTTTGTTTTGGTTTTATTCCTTCCAGGCAGCTCATGCTCGTATACTGATGTATATGAATCATGTGCAGATTTATTACTGATGTACTCTTGTAGCGAGCCATTTGTTGAACAAGGCTGCGCACATACTTGTAAATGCCGAAAACAAAGACCATAAGAAGTATACAGTCATTTCAAGAGTAATCTTTAAAAAACTCTTCTAAATTGAAAAAAAAGGAAAGAGCACATTCAAATGTTTTTGTTTTTCTTGAAAATTTACCAAAATCCAGCATTTGAAATTAATGACATAAAATACACCAGTCTAAATGTCACTTGGCAACAGAAATAAAAAAAACCCAAACAAACCTGACTATGATGGTTTTTCTCTCTGTGTCGATCTGCTTTTGAAGGGATAGGAAGAATTTAGTTTAGTTCAGCAATATTGACCACACTCCACAGGACTTATGAGAAGAAACCTCAAGAAATTCCTGAGAGATGTCATGCACACAAAACAGTGTATATCTTTTAAAATGCATAGAAGTGGCAACAAATGCATAGAAAAAAGACATACAAGCATGCTTTTATCAGTTGGGAAAATGTGTAAAATATGCAGTAATTTCCATGCACACACCCCCCCCACCTTCAATGTTTTGCAGCATGATTCAAAAGAAGGATGGGAAGAAAATGCAAGCAAGATTCCGGGAAAGAGAGCAACACTTAAATGTTTTCCTTGCTGTTTTCAAGACAAACATTTAAATCTTGCAAACTGATTATCACTTCCCTGGATGCTAACTTCACAATAGATTTCAAATCTGGACAAAAGTGTAACAGAGATGCCTTCTGTGCTTTCGGTTGTCCGAGGAGTTCTAGACCAGTGGTTTCCAACCTTGGGTAACCCAGGTGTTCTTGGAATATAGCTCCCAGAAATCTTGGCCAGCACAGCTAGTGGTGAAGGCTTCTGGGAGCTGCACTCCAAGAATAACTTGGGTTATCCAAGGTTGGGAAACACTGATCTAGACATTAACAGCATGACTGCTTTGGGTTATCTGATCCAGAAAGACATTGGCTACCTATGGATTTTGGACTCCCCCCTATGCATGTACAAAAGCCTTGGTTGCTTTGGTTTCATGTGTTCACCTAAAAGCTTTTCATTGGTTGTAAAAGTAATCTTACCAAACACATTCATTCTGGAATTTCACTGATGCCATTTCATCCTCTACCATTTGGGATATTAAAATCTACAATGGATGCTATTCTTATATGTTAATGTTCAAGCATTTACCGTATTTTTCCGAGTATAAGATGCCCCCATGTATAAGATGCCCCCCACTTTTCTAACCCAAAAGTAAGAAATCTAAGTGGGGCTTAGCAAGTGTAGGGGGAAAGGGATCAAAGTGCTGCAAGAACAATTTAATCCTTGCTTTACCCTCCACTTCTTTTTGTTCTCTCCTCAGTTTACTTCCATGTATAAGACGACCCTCAATTTTAATCTAAAAATGTGAGACAAAAGTATAGTCTTATACACAGAAAAATACAGTAATTGCATCTTGATGGTTGATGAGAAGAAATCTAAGGAATAAATGATTATATCAGTTTTGTGGTCAATGGAAAGCACTTGTTTTCTCTTAAGGTGCCACCATTGCCACTAGTCATAATTGCCTCAGTTCCTACAAAATGGGGACCAGGGTGAAAAAATTAAAGCTGCTTATTACCACCACTTTTATCTGGATGGGGTCTCCCAGATTTCCCAGAATGTCCTTGAGAGCCAAAGGTGACAAGGGACAAATTGCTCCCACTCTTCCCAGAATCACTGGCAGAAACCTTTAGTCAAATGACCAACCAAGTATCAGATTTAGATGAGCATCTGGCATCCATTCTGGCTGGCGAAGCAGAAGGCGCTGTAGAAGTGGGTGGAGTCAAAGATGACAGGTTAGAAATGGGTGGAGTCAAAGATGACAGGTAGAGCCACAGGTAACATGGTACCAATGCACATGCACAGGATGTAGGCTTGCACATACATACAGTGCCAGACAATCTCTGACCAGAAATGACTGAAGCTGGCAGACTACTCTTTGTCTGTGGAGCTAGCTGGACCTCTAGAGGCAAAGCTTGATCTAGAAGCACCCAAGACTATAAAATTATCCTTTCAAGGTCTGACAATCCTGTACAAATCAGGTGAGAAATAATGATTTTAAATTACACTGATTTATTAAAATTTGTATAAACAATGGGCAAACTCCACTAAAATAATAAGGCCGCTGTGTAAACGGCTTTCCATCTCCAACTGTTCTAAAATGCTTGGAAATGGAATCTGCTAAGGGCCTTTAGCAGACGTGTTCTTTAGGGGAAATTGGATAGGATAGAGCATGTCTAGATTCATGGCTTTAGAGCTAAATGTTTGTCAATAACAGAGCGGAATCTGTTTGTTCCCTGGAATAGAAACATGGAGTCTATGCAACTGAAGTATCATTTCATGCTACTGGGACCCAAAAAGCATCCATATAGTCAGAGAGCATAGTATACCATACAGCAGCAATTAACGCTTATGATTTCCTGGTAGTTTTGGAGCATCAAAGTCCTTAGCACAGTCATGTTAACCAAAACAGTTATTTGGTAACCGTGTTTACTAAAAACAGACTCCTCTCTGCTGGTGCAGTTTCTTCTGAGGAACAAGAACACTATAGCAAGCCATTGATAGACCCTACCTTTCATGACTATAAGACAATAATTTTTATGTCTTAGCAGCAGCCTCTTTTTCACCATGCTGCACAATAATTGCAAAACCTATCTAGTGTTTTTTTTTTTTTACTTCCCTCAGTGCAATGTTGAATCTGGTGCCCATGGTGAAGCGATTCTTCAGCTGGCAGCAAAAAACAGGATCCTGTACAGTTAACAACATTGCCGCTGGTCATAGCATGAGGCCATGAGCAGTTTAAACTTTTTTTGCTGCTCATGCAGGAAGGTATCCATAACCTCCTTGTGAAAGTGGATGCCAGCTATTACAGGGGAAATCACTGCTTGTGTATCAGCACTGCTTGAACAAATGGGGAATCCTATGCTACTGTGTGCTAAGGGCTTTTTCCTCCAGCAGTGTTCCACAGTGTTGTGACCAAGGAAATCTTTGCATAATGGAACCTTACACTATCACACATGCAAAGCACATGTGGAGAGGCACACCAGTATCCTTGACTGAGAACAGAGCAGCTGCTGGTCCATACTCTAAACTTCTCCCCTTCCAAACTGGTCATGTCCTGAGGCTAAATGGAACCAGATTGAAGGAGTGTATGGGAGAAGGGACCCCTATCAGTCAAGTCCCCAGAGACAAAGTTCACATGGAGTAGAATTATGATCATTATTGAGAAGCATCAGAAACTGCAGGTCACCCTCAGCACCGAAATCAATGAAAACATGTTTTGTGACATTTTGCCCAGTAGATGATGCTGTGCCCAACCAACCATACTTGCTTGGGGGAATATAGAAAGAAAACCCATCAGGATTCTTGATTGATGTGCTGCATATAAGCCCTGTTAGCCTTAGACTGCCATCTGCCAATCATCTGTATGAACTGGGGGTAGGCCTAGGGCAGCCACTTCAGGTGCACTGATGTGAAAGGAATTAAAAAAATAATAATGGTAGGCCTGAATCTGCAGTTACTGTGCATGTAAAGTTGAGATATTCCAGTATCACCTGCAGTTCCTTATATGCACTGAGCTATTTAAGCTGGCAACGTCTGTTCAGGGAAGTGAGATGTACCAGCCAATGTGTCCAGGTGGATGCCCAGCTAGACCAGCAAAGTTGCTGGACCCTTTATCTTGTCCTCCAGCTAGGGGAATGGCCAGCTCAGTTGCCCAGCTCTGAAACACCCTCAAGAGGTTAGCATACTCAAGGGTCCCACAAAAAGGAAGTCATCTAAATAGTCCATGGCTGTATTGTGTTGGCCTGAACTTGATCCCTCACTCAAGGAATGTGCTAAATGTTTTTAAATATATTTTTTAAAAATATTTTTATTGAAAGAACTTGGAAACATCAGCATTCATATATGGTGGTACAGCTGTTCATATGTGTTGGACGTGCTCTCCAATCCAGTTGTTCTGATCCAGAGCTTTTCCAGAAACAGAATTAATCAAAGGACAAAAATGTACAAGGTCACGAGATCTAACTCTTCTGTCCTGATTTTCAGGCAATAACAATTCAAAACAGTTGATTATCTTTTTCCTTATGGCAGCAGATTTCAAAATTGCTACAAACTGAAAGGGAATTTGTAATTTATTTTTACATGCATGGCGAAACAGAATATGGCATATTGTCCTAATGGAAAAATCAACACACCAGTTCATATTACTTAAGTGGCCAGATTACCAATATGGTTTTTTCAATACATGGTTTTCCTTTTATTTTTTATGTTAGTAGAAATGGCAGCCTATTATGTGTTAAATGTTTCAAATGCAACACAAGACATAGGGAAAGGCTGGCTGGGCTCCTGCCTGGATTGGAGTGACACTGACAAAGAAGGACCCCAGCAGCATGTGGAACCCAGTAAGTGGACCAGGCAGCCTGGGGGAAGGGAGATGGAACTCAGCACCAGCTGTGGTGCCATGCTTCGTGCTAGCTCCCATCTCTAGTGACCACTAAAATAGACTGCTGCTGGGCCCAGTGGTCTCACTTGCCCAACCCTGGTGTGGAGGCTGAAGAGGCCCCACTGATGGACCTTCTCTCCTTCAATCAGTACCATTGGTCAGGCTTCATGAAAGGGTCATGGCCAGCATAGTGATGGAGGCAGAAGACCCAAGGGTGGGGACAAAAGCAACTGTTACAGTCATGAGCTAACCTTCAGTGAATGATGAGACATTCAGGAAATGAGTGTCCCATAGCACTAACATGAGAAGTCCCAACTCATGTTAGTGCTATGGGACACCCATTTCCTGAATGTCTCATCATATTCCATTGATGGCCTATCACCAGTCAGGCAACTGGCCCACAGAGCATTGCTTATGTGATTAGTCAAATGCCTGGCCCTTTCACAGTAAGCAGTCTACATAACCCACATAAAAGAACCCACTGCAGCCCACCGAACAGTTGTTGAAGCTCCTAGCTACCTCATTCCTCTTTGCCTTTTTCTTACCACCATCTCTCCCCTTACCTATCTGGCCCTTTTCTCCCTCTGGTTTAAGGAGGGTAAATATATTGACATAATATCCTTCAAGGATACACTCTCTAGTGTTTTCCAGGAAAAGTGAATGCCCAGGATGGTTGTGGTCCTTGTTGTCTGTGAAGAATGGATGTGGACCATCCCTATACAAACTGCTCCTTATCCCAAACCTCCTAAAGGCCCACCTTGTATCACCCTGTGCCTTCT